AAAAAGAAGCAGTTGTTATTTTTTGTGGTTTTCTACACCAGAATAAATCATGCCTTTTCCCTTCTTGCAGTCTAATAATAATTAACTACTTATTTTCTCAGAACTGTGTACACTCCTACTGACCTTCTTCACGTTAATATGCAGACACAGCAGTAAATGGAAAGCTGCATTGACTTTTTCTGTGATGCCACACAACCCAAATAGTATGTTTGTTAGTGGAAGGAAATTATTTTCTAGCTTCTCAGAAAGTGCTGCAAACGATACAGTTTTTATGTGGACAATGTATGACTGGAGGGCAAAAACCAAAGTGCAGGGTAAAGCATATGATTATGAAAAACTGGACTGGGAACTAGATATTTCAGTCCTGAGTATTTCAATGTTTTAAAGAATCTTTTTCAAAAAGAAACAACTGAAATTTCCTGGGGCTTCATATGTTAAAATATGCTCTGAGTACAGAATTTTGGCTGTTTGGAATCAAAAAGGAAACTCACCTTCTCTTCACGGTACTGATGTTTATTTCAAAATCTCCAAATTTGAGCATGAACTTTCACATGTAAGTTGAAGTACAGCCCAATGTGAATATTACTACTTTTGCAGGAAAAAAAAAAAATTAGGAAAATGGACAGGTCTTACTGTGGGTTCAGGTGTCTGTTCTAAGCATACGCCGGACCATTTTGCATGTTCTTTGACTTGCCACTTTTGTTGTCTTCTGTAACAACGTGTCCTACCTTCTGTCCTCTGCACAGCAAAGAAGTAGCTAGAAGTCTTGCAATATAGCTGAAAGTATTGAGCAGGTGACACTGAGTACAACTTAAAAGAAGTGAGGGAGAACTGGAATGTTCTGTAGGAATACCTTTGAGGTAGGATGGCAGGCATGAATGGGAGACAGGGCATTCTGATAAACGGAATGAACAGGAGCATGAGGGCCATACATCCATGGGAAACCATCCTTTCTTAGCTCCACTGCTCACAAAATGGGACACCCCTTTCTCTCTTCTCTGTGTGCTCCCCAGCAATTCAGAGGTAAATGTTTCTGAAGAAAGTTCCTAGTAAAGACAGTGAGGTTATCATGAAAAGAGAGCATATAAGGAGATCGAATATAAGTATCCTTCACTCCTGCCTACCTTGGGAGGTCAGAAATCATAGAACAATTCAGGCTGAGAGAGACTTCATGCTGAAAAGTATCTGTCAGGTCACAGGGATAGGTGCCTCCTTCTCTGTCTGCTTTTTCCTGTAACTGTACAGTACAGTATCAAAAATACCAATCAGGGTAGAGGAGGAAGGTACTCCCATTGCTTCAGCAAAAATTCATGTAGGAGGAGTCCTTCTCAGCCACCCATTCACTCCCAGAACTGGATGGCTCTGGAAAGGTTTAGGATTGTATTAATTCTTTCAGCTTGGAAGAAGAGAAACCACTGTGGATACTAACCATTTGCTCCATGGCTGCTCCTGTGACTTTTGGGGTGTCAGTGATTGTAGCAGACCACCTCTAGATCCAGATTTCCTCCCCATCTACTGATAAGAGGGACGTTCATACAAGAGCTCTAACTTGTGCCATAACTGACTGCACCATTAGGAAACTTCTGAAGTCTGGAAAGCAGGTAATCTTAGTAACAGAATCTTCATTATCTGCATGTAGCTTCCTCTGAAAAAAACTCTCCATTCCACTGGTCCTTCTTATAGTTGTCCTGTGAGTTTCTGGCATAGGCTTGCAAGATGTTCCAACAAAGAATTTCTCATGGCTCAGTCCAAAATCCCATGTCCCACATTAAGAACTTGTGATGTATTATGTTCCCCTGCATTTTCTGTGTGCTTTTAATATGGTTTATGTGATTTTATGGCCTTTACTGCCTTCTGCCTTCCTACCCCTCTCTGCCTCTGGGTCAAAGCAATGATGCCAGCAGAACCATTAGCTGAAGGATCCTCTAAGCAGCTTGGAGGGTGATCCAAGGAATGTATTCTCATGCATTAAGTCTGCCATTTCTACTAGCCTGTTGCAGACTTTCTCATTTTTTTTTAGCTGACAAGCCTTTGGTTCAGAGCAAAAACTCTTGTTATTATTCTGTATCACACCTAGTACAGTTAGTTTTTGTCCCATAGTTATCACTCTAGCCTTTTAAAGTCTTTTTTACCTCTCAAATCATTTAATCAGAACACTCCATTAGTACACTGTTATTTTTTTTGTACCAAACAGCTACATTTGTCCTGAGACAGGTCTTTGAGAAATACCACCATTAAAATTCCTCCAGGCCAATGACTTCCCTTCTGTCTTATCTGCTTTATCTAGTTCCATGCTTGGTTTACGAATCTTGTAACTAATTGCTTTCCATATTGCATCATTTAAATGCTTTGCTAATGTCCAGACAGAATATACTCCCTGAATTTTTGTCATGCCAAGTTTATGAAGTAGCAAGACATGCTGACATGTTGACTTTTGGAATTTTGGTTTGCATCCCCATTTTTCAGTTTACCATGATCTTGTATGATCTTGTATTTTTTTTTTTTCTTTTTTACTTTTTTTCTTAAAATACTAACAGCTAGGTAGAAATTCTCCAAAAGAAGTCACAGATGTACTTGGACATTGCCCTATTTTCTTGTCTGGATGTACCGTAATGCACATGAAATGAAATACTGAAACTGTTAGAACTAGCTAAACATTGTGAGCATGACCTGTCTTACCAGCCTGAGATGTTTGCTGCTATTGGCTGTTTTCAAAAACTATTTGCAACTTCTGAGTTTTGTATCCAGTATCCACGCGGTTGATTATTGGTCTAACAGAAAGTTGCTGTAAATGTAGTTCAAGAACACAAGGCTGGTTTTATTTAGTCACTAAAGCTATAACACATCAAGCTTACAGAAGAGATTATTGACAAAATGTGATTTTTTAATGTGAAGTGTTATCTCTGCATCATTAGCAAAATTATTCAGGGTGATGTGAAAGCATTTACATCTGGTTCTGGTTTTCACAGGTCACTGAGTGCACATCACCTAGTAAGGCTCTTGACAAAGCAGGTATGACATTCAGATAATGACTGCCTAGAAGAAAATAGGAAGTCTCTCTTGGTTTCAAAGAAGAAGTACAGATTAAGGTAAAGATATAATCTTTCAGTTGTGCCAATGGTTTTAGAGGAAAGATACTTTGTGATTAATTTGTGAACTGTTGCATTCTTTGTGACTTACTTGGAATATGGTATGTAATTCTAAAGATGCCTCACTCTGTCTGATTTCGTGTTCTGTTTCCAACCAGTCATCTCACCTCACCCTTTGCCAGGAATCTTCTCATGGTGATGTGTTCCATCTAAAGTTCTGGTCATCTTTAAGTCTTAGAAGTGCAAAAGGTATTTCATTTCTGTTAATTTTGGCTTTCCAAGGTAAAGAGGGTTTGTATGCTACTCTGTTTAGATGAACACGAATCTTAAAGACTGAGCTGGCAGTTTCAGGCTGTATTTACAGCCTTAAATCTAGGGGAGATTTATAATCTTCTAGACTATTTTTCCTACCTAAGTTTGCAGGTAGATAGCTCTGCTTCTAGAGTGAACATGCTGTGTGCTCAACCAGTTACGTAGAAAGGCTTAGTCATGAACACAGTACTGTTCTGAAGAAGGATTCACTGTTGCATTACTTAGGAAACTTTCCTGTGGCAATTGACTACAGCAGGTATAAGGGTCCTTACTAATTCCTAATTCCTTCAGGATTCAATGATTTTGTCTCTTGCAGGTTTTGAGTTAAGTCAAGGGAAACTATTGCATACTTATAGTACAGGGACTCTTCTTTAGTTACGGATCTTCAGATTCCAACTATCAGAAAATCTTGTCATTTTCAATAAAATGTTCTCAACGCATAGCCTTCTTTGTGTGTGAGGCACCTTATGAAATGTTAGCTCTGCAGCATAGGGGAATATTTATGTTTGCTTTATTGATACTATCTCAATGAAAACAGAAGTTATACTCTTCAGACTCACGTGTTAGGTAATGTGTTGACTGTCCTGGTAACAAATTTCTCACTCAAAAGCATGGCAGGAGATTTCCCTTAAAACAACCCACATGTTCCAAGTATAATTGCATGATCTGATTCATATGGATGTTTCTGAATTAAATGCTAGCTCTTACTTTGGAAGTCTTTGTAATTCTGATGGATGTTGTATCATCACTGAAAACATAACATTATATAAAAAGTAATGAAGGTGGAGCTGCGTCCAATTAAATCTGAAGAGGGGGGATATTTAGTTGTTCCATAGATGTATTGGAACGAAATTTTTGCTGAGAAGTTATGTGCACACAGGGGAGGACACAAGACTAATACCAGAACTTCTGTGCTCTCTTGAGAGCACCAACACTGAGATGTTTGGGTCGTTGACTGGATTAATGTATCTTGCCAGGAGGCTCCATGCAGTCTGCAGTATGTTTAAGGAAACATAGGATCATGGTGAAGTCCCAGACTTTACTTGAGTACAGGCCAGTGTGATGAATGCACACATTATGTGTTCACTGTGCAAATTAAAACTATAAGAGCTGTGTTTGCTTTTCCCACTAAGGTTGGTGGGAAAGCAGTACTGCTCAATGACAGTATGGATGGAATGGGATTTTGAAGACTTGCACTGCCAGGAGAGGTGAGCTGGCATCTGGATGAGCTAGTCATGCTCCCTATCAAAGTATCTTTGATAGGAGGGCTTTGGCAGCTGGAAGGCTGCCATGTAGTGGAGCATGCATGATAATTCCAACTCTCTCCACCCAGCAGAGCAAGAGCTGCGGTCACATTTTTGCGAACTCCAGCAAGCGCTAGCAATAGATCCAGGACTGCTCAGGTCAGTCAAGACAAGAACAGAGCTATCCCTCCACACACCTCAAACCGTCCAAACCATCTACTGATATCCAGTTTAGGCAGTATTCTTATTTCTGTAAAGGAGTGGTATTAACAATTGAAAGCCCTCTGTGCAGGCTCTTTCCAAATGCTCGTCTCTCGTTTCCCTTGGTCTGGAAGTCATTTTAGATTTGCCAGCTGGGACTCAGCCCCTGGGCTGATTCCAGCACCTGAGCCTAGGTTTATGTCAGAGTGAGCTGGCTGCTCCCGTGGGACATTACGGCGTGCCCTGACTCAGGAGGTGCTCAGAAAGGTGCTGCTGGACCTCTGGAAGGAGACGGAAAGTGGCAGAGTCAAAGCTGAGTGGTTGGAGAGCAGTGATTTCCAGCTCCTTCAGATGTTTATTTCCTGGTGAGTGGTATGCTTAAGAATATTCTTAATGTTTGGGGTGGTAGCAAGAAATGATAGACTATTTACTTTTCCTATTTCTTCTGTTGTGAATTTTAGAATATCTGTGACTAAACATAGTCACTAGAAGAACCCCCTAAGTAGAGACTAACAAAGTGGATGATTATCTAGTCCTGAATGTCTGAATGTGGAGCGAAGCTTCTGGTTAGTGTTTTCCTAGTGAAAACAACTTGTTTTTTTTTTAATATAAAATACACAATGTCTGTATTTGTATCTCATACATTATTACTTAAAAAACAAAAGCAGTAGTCTATATGATTACAGCTAAAGAATGCAGATTTTGTCCTTAGGCAAAAGGTAAAGGAGAAGAAAAATGGCATTCATTTCTGTTATATAACCCAGAACGTAAAATCTTAGAGAACAGTGTTAGATTTTTCCATTCAGAAATACAGTGTATAATTAACACAATTAGTTATTGACTTATTCACAACCAGGAAAAAAGACTTTCATTTCATCTTGTTTTACAAAAAAAAATGGGTCCTCAATGTGTCAAGTGCCACGTTAATAGCAATTGCAGACTGTTTTTAAACAAGGATGGCAAAAAGTTAAGAGTTGAGGAGAATTATCTCACTTGTACTGATGGTGAAAGAAAAAGACTGAATGCTTTATCTGCAGTTCTGAACACAGCTTTCAGCTGAAGGCTGTTTTATATTCAAAACTCACTCCAAACATTCACCTTTGCCTGTTCCTTGATTATGTGTCAATTTAGATTGACATAAAATTTGGGCTCATTATGTAAGTTAGACATCTAAATCTGCCCTTGTGTAGGAAAAAAAGGGATTTTCCCAGCCTAATAACCCAGAATTTGACCCATCAAAGGTGTCTGTCAAGAGGTACTAGGCTAGTTAGGGAAGTTCAATACTAGTATGTGAAAGCCACCTTCAATAGCAACACTAATTAAAGGCTATTAAGCCTGGACTAGTGTCCTTTCAGCATCATGGTATGAATGTCCTTTCTTCATCGTGGCATCTTCTCTCAGAACTATCTGCTATGGCTTCTTTCAAGCATCTTTCACCTGGTCAGCTGCTCACAGAAGGTCCCCCCAGCACAGTCCAAGTCTTGACTCTAGAAATTTGACTATATTTTTCAGACCAAAATATACTCCTGGGAGGCAGCTAGGCAATCCTTTCATGATAATCTTCAAAGCAGTACATGTGCTTATGACCTCTTATGCACAACCCAGCACTTAGAGGTCTTGATCTACAGCCGGTAAATTCCTTCCCTGCCTACTGTATTTTGAAAGTAGTCATAATTACTTCTAAAGTTTATTACTCAAAGTGAATGAGCCTCGGTGGGGATGTTCCTCCTTCTTCTTTGCTGTCACTCCCCTTCTGTGGCCTGTTTTCTCTCATGCAGTCTTCTGGGTAATTAGAGTAATTGCTTCTGGTAATAGACGGTGGTACTTGGGCTTTGTCACCTGTGTTTCTTGAAGACAATGGCTCCTCATGTTGCAGTTGTGACAATAAGTTCTCTGTGAACTTTCGTGCCAGGCCCTGAGATATGCTGCTAGTTAAGTCCTGTCTCTTAGACTTTTCAAGACACAGCAGTCCTCTGGGCTGGAGAGATATGTGCCATGCAGGAGATGTAGTTACTTGCATGCTGACCTACTTAACTAAGCTGTTGTAGGTTTGCTGGGATGGATCATCTTGAGAAAATGCCTGGGAGTGAGATCTCACAGTGAATCAGCTTGCAGGTGGGTTACCTGCTAGGCAGCTCACTGCCAGGCTTTTTGATGGTCTTTCTGTTGGCTGCAGCTTCTCTCTAGGCACATCTGATTGGGTCTGCAACTAGGATGGATGTTAATGGAGAAGAGGGATTTTAAAAAGTGAGTGCAAGTGGTATCCTGAAATAACACGGGTGAAAGTTAGGCATATGCTCTAAGTGAATCATCTGACAGGACTTCCTACCTGTAGAAGTGTAAAAAGGCTCTTGAAGACAACCCAAACTTCATGTTTTCACTCTACAATCCAGCTTGTCCTCTAAAGGAGCAGACCTGCTTCCATAGGATGGATGCATAGAGTGCAGTAATGGAAAATATAAGGTCAGTTTGCCTTTAGGGAATTTGACTTGCTATTCAGTAAATATATATTTTAGATTTCCTTAAAAAGCTGTGTTAACCTTGTGGTGACCATACTGAGCTGCAGTATATGTGGCTGCTTTGTGAAAAGGATTCTATGGGCTGCTGTTTTACACTGTTATATGATCTAGGCAAAGTTCAGAACAAAATAAGACATACTTATTTAATTTCTTCTGGTAAAGAAGTCAGTGGTACTGCTCAGGCTGTCCTATTATTTTCTTTAAGTAGAATGCACTTTTCTCTTTGGTCACAGATAAGTAATTACTGCATTTCTGCCATGATGAACAGCCAGTCTGAAGCTCAGGGTAAAAAACGTATATGTCTTCCGAAAACCTACTGTCACTGGCATTTAATCATCTCTTTAAAGTTAGAGATAGGAACTGGAGAATGAGAGTGAATCATTAGTGGTGCGTTTCTTTGTTGCATAAATCCAGCCTTCCCATTGACCAGTAGATGGGGCAAGTGAACCTCCTTAGAGTTACAATCAAGATTTCTCAGAATGCAAGGTTAAAATGTAGCCCTCGTTGGCTCTTAGTTCAAAAGTCTAGTTCGAACTCTCTTTACCTTTGTACTGTAAGGGTAAATTACATACTTTGACGCAACTGGACTATTTTCTTTACAAACATGTGTCGTAAACAATTGTTCTATTCCTTGAAATTCTGAGATTTAAAATGATATTCCTTTTCACACAGGGTTGGAAACAAATGTTTTGAAAGTTTGTTTGTGAGGAGATATGGGAATGAGTGTTCCCTTCCCAAAACTAGCTAATAGTTAGGTGTTTACAACACTCATGAGGATGCAAAAGATCAAAGTTTTAGTCTCTGGTAGTCTTCCAAGTGACTGTAGAGTGTAATAATTACAAGATCACCTTCCATTCTTACTTTAGGTTACCCTCTCCAATTCTTCACCAAAAACTGTTCCCATTTTTATAGATTTACCACTGTACCAGGTTTGCATGGCCTACGTGAATGACCACAGTAGTTCATCTTAGACAACCTTTCTGTCCACATTTCTAGCTTCCCACTTGTACTTTGTGTGATGAGAGAAGCTGACCCACAAAATAAGTTCCTGAATGCTGCCTGTTACGGGATGAATAATCTTTTTCTTAAACATGAGGGAATATATAGCCCTTAGTTTCTCTTTAGCATCTGCTTTTTCTTCTACACTTTATCTTCATAGGCATGCTATGCTCTGGCCCCACTTCTTCATGCTCAGCTTGGTAGTATAGGTCCTGAAACTGATTGTATTCTTGCAGTCAATGTGGTGCAGGTGCAAGGACCATTTGCTGCCTCTCACAGAAGCAAATAATGTCAGTGAAGTTGGCCTTGTGGGGGGTAGCGGAGGATCTCCAGGTGCAGACTTGTTACAGCGGGAAGCTTCTGCTTGTTGCATAGACAAGACAGTATTGTTCAGCCAGTTGGGTATATCCTGCCATTGAGGAAGCAGATCCCACTGTTTAGCCTTGGAAAAAAAGTAAGTCTGCATTTCACTTATTTAAAGTGAAGTAGAGCATACTTCCTGAGATATTCGGTTGGAAGTGCAAAGAACCCTGTGTCTATACTGAACTGGATAGGTCAGAAAAACGTAGTATGTTCATATAAAACAGAACACCTGGGCTAAAGATCTTTTTTTTTTTTTTTTTTTTTTACAAAAAAAAAAGTCATTATTTTTTTTAAAAGCCTGTCCCCAAAATTTCAAATGCTGAAACAGGTAATAGGTGTAAGCCTACCTTCTCACACATGCTGGGGAAAACTTTGCTGTGCACTGACAAGTAGAGCACATGTGTGTCTGTATGCTACCATCTGTTATTATCCATTTATGATATACAAAATTTGTTTCTGGATGGGAGAAAGTTTCTAGAAGAGGAATTCCTAGCTGGATTAGCCATGACTTTTTGCTCTTGTTCAAAGCTGCAATGGAGATGGGTAGTAGTGAGTATGGGAGGAGACAATGCTGAAGTTGGTGTGAGCTGAGAGCAGCACCTTTGCAGACAGTGAAAGTAACCAAACTCTACAGAGGTCTGAAGTGGTAAGATTTTGGCTCTCCTTCAGTTCATAGTACTGAACCTGGGCATTGTCCTAACCTTCTCTGTGTTTCTAAAGAGCAATTTCTGTTAACTTTTCCACATGTGACTTAAAGAGTGCTTTACTTGCTCCTTCTTTTCTATCTCATGATGTTCTGAGACTCTAGCACTGATTCCTCCATGGTGAGCAGCCTAGCTCAGAGAAAGACTCTCACAACCAAATTTCTATAGTTTGCTGCAGTCCTTCTTTACTTTCCATTTGGTCCTACAGGAAAAATTCCTCTGACTTCTGTCATATCTACCTTTGCCTTTGAATGTTTTCATTGGATTGCTATGTTTCGGATGAAATTTAAATTGCTCTGTGTAGTTTTAGCTGGCGTTTGCATTTTGTACACTGAGTGCATCTTGACCATCTGCTGTCCTCTGATTTAACCACTGTCCTCATTGTCTTCTAATTATTTCTTTCAAGTCCTTCCCTGCTTCTGGAGAAATGTTCTCCTGCTAAGATGAGCAGTGCTACTATTGCTGAACATGCTCACTTTCACATTTCACTTTTCATATTCCCTTTAGATTTAGTACTTTTTCTCTTCATTTTCTGCCTTGATGATGAAAAGAGCTGTTTTATAAGAAACACACTGCTCCCATGGTAGGTATAAAAGCCTGGCTCAGACTGCATGGGTTCCTCAGGAACTTGGTCTGTGGCACAAATTGGCACGAGGCAGCTGGGAACACCTACAGCATGCAGTGGTTTATAGCAAGCCAACTGCTCAGTGACATGCTGGCCTCTGAGGAAAGCTATGCAAGCTGCTAGCCAGAGGTCTCTCAGGAGGATTGAGAGTTTGT